TGGGGAAACTACCGTTTCCTCATTGCCCCCCTGTCTAGTCCTTGTCCTTGCAGGGATGCTTTGTTCTTATTAGCCCATAGTAATCACCATTACTGTTCCGGAAACACCCACTGCTCTGACCTTGACTCAGATATAATGAATAAACACCAAAGTTCTGGCTGCCTCGTGGCCTTTTGTTCCTCGTGAACAACTGGTCATCCCAGATCCCTCATGTATCCCTACTTTGTCCCTTGCTCTTTCTTCCCGTAACTCTAGGCAGGAGATCAGGGACTAACTGCAGTAGTCCCCAATAACTGATGCAGTGGAGAGGGTCTCCAATAAGAAAGCAATGAAAAATGAAGACTGAACAGAAGTTTAAGCTGGATTTCCAGTCTGCCTCCCCTCCGAATCAGAAACACAGAAAGGCGTGCACAAGGAGCTAAGAGGTTACAAAGAGTAAGGTATCTAAGATATCATAAGAGTAAGAAAAAGAAATGGTTGAACTCCAAAAACAAGGACGGGCTACAGCCACGGAAGACTGTGTTCCCAATGCGGCCTCCCTGTTGGCATTAGGAACTGGGTAACCGCTCAACATCTGTGGCAGTTCCCACGGTGGCACCAGACCTGCAGCTCTGGCAGGGACCAGGACAGCCTCACCTGGCTATTGAGACCCAGCCTGAAATTCAGTGAAATCACTGAATGAGAGCAAAGGAGGAAAACCCTTTGAAAGGCAAGAAATACAGAGCAAATCCTAGCCTGCTAAATCCAAGAACTGGATTTTGAAAACAAGGACTAAAATGTCACGTGTAGGAAATTAAGGTTACTAAGATGAGCATGATGCTGGATGGAGCTCAGCTGGTGAAGGAAGTTACAAGGCTTGGAAGGAAGCACTACGAAGTACTGAGAAATCAAGACACTTGTTCTGACACGGCAAGATCACCCCCGCACAGCAGGAGGAGCTAGGCCGGGTCTCCATCTTCAGTGTGCAGAATGGGTGCTGTCTGAGACAGATCACACAGAGTCTGGGGCCTTATGACTTTTTGTTCTGGTATCAGGTCCTTGCTCACCCAACAGCCAGCCTCCTAGCTTTGTATGGCTGTCATGCTTTTTTTAGTTTTTAAGAAAATTGTGTAAAAGATACAAAATTTATCGGTTTACCCACTTTTAAGTACACAGTGGAACTTGGCACATTCACAACATTGTGTGATCGTCACCATCATCAACATCCATAACTTTATCTATGTCTGTTTGACTTTAACTTTTTGTTTGTTTGTTTGTTTTTGAAACAGGGTCTCCCTATGCAGTTCAGGCTGGCCTGGAGCTCACTTTGTAGCCCAAGCTGGTCTAGAACTCTCAACGATCCTCCTTCCTCAGCCTCCCTAGTGCTGGGATTATAGGTGTGAGCCACCACGCCCGGCCTGATTTTAACTTAGTAAAAAGTAAGGTTTCTTCGTAAATATCTGGTTAATGATACAGGTGTTTGCACTTTAAGGTTAAATTTACTTTCATTAAACTCAAACTAGCAAGGTGTGGTGTTGTGTGCCTGAAATCTCAGCACTGACTCAAGGAAGTTGAGGCAAGAGGTTCCCAAATTTGAGCATAGCCTAGGCAATTTAGCAAGACCTTATCTCAAAAATTAAAAAATATTATATATATTTTTAATATACTGGGAATATACCTCAGTGGGAAAGCCCTGGGTTCAACCTCCAATAGTGCTAAAACCAAAAAAACCAAATCTTTAAACTATAAAAGGACAAGAGCTAGGGGTGGTGGCACACCCCTATAATCCCAGTACTCAGGAGGCTGAGGCAGGAGGATCGTTGTGAGTTAGAGGCCAGCCTGAACTATATAGTGAGACCATCTCAAAAAAACAAAAAAAAACCAAACCATAAATTAGGGGGAAATGTAATATATACAAATGAATAAAACTAATGAGCCATAAGTGGACTAATGCTGTGGTCAGACATTTCCAAATACCAGTGGCCAGCAAACACAAAGATATGCAGCCTCATTAGTATTCAGGGAAGTTCTTCAGAAAAAAGTGAATTTCCTTTTTTCTTTTCTCTTTCCTTTTTCTTTCTTTCTCTCTCTCTTTTTTTTGGTGTGGTACTAGGGATAGAGCCCAGGTCCTTTACATCCTCAGCCCCTAACCCTTTTTAAATATTTTTGAAGGGGCTGGGGATTTAGCTCAGCGGCACAGTGCCTGCCTGGCAAGCACAAGGTCATGAGTTCGATTCCCAGTAATGGAAAAACAAAAAAACAAAAATAAATAAATAAATAAATAAATATTTTTGAGACAGAGAGAGACTCACTAAGTCACTGAATTTACCTGGACTGGGCTCGAATTTACAATCTTCCTGCCTCAACTTCCTGCTTACCAGCCTGTGCCACCTTACCTCCCTGATTTATACTTTTTTTTATCTATCAGGCTAGAAAATATTTGGACAGAACAAATATAAAGATACTGAGGTGAAAGTGTACTTGACTTTGAAGACCAGCATGAGGGCTAGAGGGTTAAGATGAGAGTGTACAGTGAGGTCAAATAGAGATCAAGGAGCCAGTCCATGTCAGGCCTTGCTGGCTTTGATGGGGGGTATGGATTTCACGTGAAAGTTAATTAGCTGCAAGCCGGGTGTGCTGGCGCACACCTGTGATTCCAGCACTTGGGAGGTTAAGGCAGAAGGACTGTTGCAAGCTTGAGGCCTGTCTGGCCTACAAAGTGAGCTCAAGCCCAGCCTGAACTGCATACAGAGACCCTGTCTCAAAAAGATCAAAAAAGAAAGTTAATTAATTGCAAATTAAAGTCTCTTCAACAAAGGGAGATAAAAATAGATGATTTACATTTACTGTGATAGTTTAGAAAAAAAGTTCTTTTCTCCTGTGCGAAGGATTGAACAGAGCACCTTGGGCACGCTGAGCACACCCTAACACCGAGTACCCCCAGCCAAGCTAGTACTACATTCAAAATACACAAATAATTGCTTTTCTCCTTACTATACGGCAAATCACTATTTTATGTGCTAACAGGGAAGAAAGCTGTCAATTATAATCACAAAGTATCACGTTATAATCACATCCTGACTTTAAAGTTATTAAAGTATGATACAAGGGGCACTTAATATAGATAAAATGTAGGACTGGACACTGTAGCAGGGCTGGACACGTGTAACACATAGGTAACAAAACCCCTCTTTCCTCCTAGAGCTAAGTTTGTGCTCCACACTTAGTTTCTCCACACCAAGCAGAATATCACTTAGGGATGCTGAGCACCTCATAAAACCATAGAGAGAAGCAAAGGAATGACCACCCCAAGCTAAGAGGGCGCAGCGAAGGAGGGGCTGTGTGTGGAGGGCGGTGCAGGTGATTTCTAAGGTGCTAGTCACGTTCTAGGTGATGGGTAGCAGTGTTCATTTTACTGGTGTTCTTCAAATGACACAGCGTGTTTCATATATTTCCTATACATACATTTCACGATAATAATTTTTAAAAAGAACAATAATTTTACTAGGATTTTGATTGGGTTTTCACTATTATGAAGCACTGATATTTTAATGTTTTCTCAACAGGAAAAGAATATGTTAATTTATTTTGCTCTATTTTGTATTTTTTGCTGAGTTTTAAATCTTCATATAGCTCTTATAGACTTGTTTTAAGAGGTATGGGAAGGGTTTTGCTTGGCAGGAATTTAATAATATATATTCATAGACATAGAGCGAAGGCCCTCAAGACAGAGACACGCTACTATTTAAAGTTATGAATATTTATGTGCTCTGGCAGAAGTCTGTGAATTTGTGAATCTAGAGGAAGTTCTGTCCTGGGAAAAGAGTGGTCCACCCATGGAAAGATGATGGAAGGATGTCCCACTCACCAGAATCTTATAGATTTCTTACATCTATTCCTGGATATCTTATGAAATCTTTTGCTACTGTCTTTTTTTGGGGGCTGGGGGGAGAGAGGGTCTTATTATGCAGTTCAGGTTGACCTTGAGCTCACTTTGTAGCCCAGGATGGCCTTGAACTCGCAATGATCTTCCTGCCTCAGCCTCCTGAGTTCTGGAATTACAGGTGTGCGCCACGTCTGGCTTTCTTTTGCTATTGTAAATGAGCTTCTTTTATTATTACATTTTCTAATCTATCATAACCATTTATCATCTAAAAGTGATGTTTTATATTTCCAACTTTTATCTTCTTCATAGAGATTAAGCCAATTACTTATTGATTTTTATTGTCTTTCCAAAGATCAAACCTCTTAGTTTCTATTATATTTACGTATGTGATCTTCAACTCCAGTGCACACGAAATATTTAATAAATGTCCACTAAGTTATAAAGTCCCCTCTCTCTCTCAGTGCTGGGGACTGAACCAGCGGCCTTGCACGTGCTGCACTCCAGCACCACCCCACATCTCAGTTTCTATAAAAGAAGAGCACACACAATCTCTTAGCAACTTCTCACTGTCAAAAAACCTTTTAAAAATCACATTTACTTACGTCCAGATTGCACAGACTAAAGTATCAAGTTTCTTTGCTGTGAGATATAGTGAGCTATAGTTATAAGCCCAAAATATAAATGTTTAAATGTCATTTTTGTTTAATGGCTGAAAGAAAATTCAAAAATATGAAAACTGCCAGGCCTCGTGGCACACACCTGTAATCCCAGCACTCGGTAGGCTGAGACGGGAGGATCGTTGTGAGTTCAAGATCAGCCTGGGCTACAAAGTGAGCTCAAGGCCAGCCTGAACTGCACAGAGAGACGCTGCCACAAAAAGACAAAAAAAAAAAAAAAAAAAAAAGAAAAAGAAAGAAAAGAAAAAGTAAACTAAAGGCTACCCAAGGGGTAGAAACCAGTAAATCCCCAAGCTCTGTCTCTCTGAGGGCTACTCAAGTGCTTTCCCACAGTGCCACCTGGTGGGCAGTTGGCAACTTTCACCATCAGTACGGAGACAGATGAGAACTGCCAGGTGCTTTCTCAAAAGCCCCAGGAAACTCTAGAATTGCTGCCCTCCTTAGCTGCCCACACATACCTGGATGAGGTCCAAAATCCCAAGTTCACTCTCTGATGAATCCACACAAAATACAAAGTATAGGGTAGCATAGTGCCGATAAATCAGTTTGTAGTCAGAGCCACCAATCAAACTGTAGAAGACAGGAAACACTTAAATGCCTACATCTTAAATCAATGAGAAACCCTGTGCCAACTCATGGGAAAGGGCTCAAAAGAAAAGGAGAACCTTACTGGGCATGGTGGCCCAGGCCTGCAATCCTAACTACTTGGGAGGCTGAGCCAGGAGGATCACAAGTTTGAGGCCAGAACGGGCAACTCAGTGATGCCTTGTCTTAAAACATAACAAGGACTGGGAATGTAGCTCAGCAGTAGAATGCTTGCCTACTGTAATGGCTGACACATTGTGTCAGCTTGAGAACTGAGAGTTGAGAAGCTTAACTAAGTGACTCAGTAGGGGGCCAGGGTCCTCATTCTGTAAACATCCTGAGCTTGTGGAAGAGGAGACACAAACCTGGTGTGGGTAAGTACCCCACATACAATATAACGGAGGAAAAGAGGCTTGTTCTCCCCCTTTTGCTCTTGCTGCTTTTGCTGTCTTCTGCCCCCTTGAAGTGTTGCCCCTGTGCCCTGCCACCCTGCCTTGGAGCCAGCTGATTATGGACTGAATCCTCCACAAATTGTGAGCTAAATAAACCTTTCCTTCCTTTTAAACATCGTATTGTCTCCCTAGTGTAAGAACCTGAAAGAGTAAATAAAACTCAAAAGGTACAATAGGTATTGTGAAAGGGAAAGAAACTGCTCAAAGGGAAGGAACAACTGGGAGGAAGGAAAGGAGAAAAGAAAGAAGGTAAAAAAATATATATATATGTATATACAAGGATAGCTGGGATAATTGTACTGCTGATGTCTAATGGTTTATTGAAAGGAACAGTTAATGCTTAAATTTCTTTTTCTTGAGCATTTTTACATGCTTATATCTGGTAATCTGAATTAAAGTAAATTAGTAATTAGTAAACCTAATTTGAAGAGAACAATATGCAATACAACAACCACTGTTGAATTCCAAACTTTTTTTTTGTCTTTTTGAGACAGGGTTTTACTATGCAGTTCAGACTGGCCTTGAGCTCACTTTGTAGCCCAGGCTGGTCTCAAACTTGCAACGATCCCGCTGCCTCAGCCTCCCAAGTGCTGGGGCTACCGATCATCTTGTTTAGCAAAGCTCTGTATCGTTTCTAATGCTTTTATACTTTTTATTCTTTCTTTCTTCCTTTCTTTCTTTCTGTCTTTTTGAGACAGTCTCACTATGCAGTTCAGGCTGGCCTTGAGCTCACTTTATAGCCTAGGTTGGTCTCCAGCTTGCAATGATCCTCCTGCCTCAGCCTCCTGAGTGCTGGGATTACAGGAATGCACCACCATGCCTGGCCTTATTCTCTTTAATTGTTTGATCAATCTTGCATTCTTACATCTGGTAATCTGAGCAACTTCATTGAAGATAACAATGTGTAATATAACAACCATTGTTAATCCCTATGATTTTGTTGTGAAATCCTGTATTGTTTTCATTGTTTTTGTGTTGTTTTTGTCTTTGTTGTTGTTATTTTGTTGTTTTTAAATTCTCTTTCAAATAAAAAAAATTTTAAAAATAAATCTTTCCTTCCTTAATTTTGAGTGTTGGGTATTTTGCCTCAGCAACAAGACAAAAGTAACCAACACACCTACCACACTAGAGGGTCAATCACCATAAAAGGGGACAGCTAAATGCTAGAAGCAGGCCATGTCCATCAGATGACAGGCAACCAAGTTTGGCAGAAGTATCTAAACTCCTTCACCTCACCCTTTTCCCCTACCTATCCTCCCAGGAACCAGACATCTAGGAAAGTGACAGCTGCAGCATGATAATGAGCTGCTTCCCAAAGAGGACAGGGTCTTTCCCTGTGAAGGTCCCACTAAGACCAGCTTGGGTTGCATTAGGACTCCAACACTTGAGTATGCCACAAGCAACGACAATGATGAAGACCACACACAAGTAAACAGATGGGGGTCAGAAAATGAAGCAGTTTTACCTTCCTCCCTCCAAGAAATTACAGATGTTGTCATCCCGCTTGAGGACTAGATGGAAAGTCTCTCTAACGATCTGCTGTTGGATTTCTTCTGGCTATGGAACAACAGAAAGGCAAGTTAGTGGGAAAATCTGGAAAACTATATCCCATTGATGAGGACAAACAGGGAAAAAAGTACTTCCAAGCCCAGAGCAACCCGAATATTTAGTGGTAGTTCCCAGAAAGGCAATGGTGATAAGTGGCAGGCCAGGTGTGGTGGCACAGAGGACTGGGATGGGGGAGAAATCAGCACAGGCACCATAGCAAGACCTGGTCTCAAAAAACAAAACAAGAGCTGGGTGTGGTGGTGCACTCCTGTAATCCCAGCACTCGGGAGGCTGAGGCAGGAGGATCATTAAAGAGTTCAAGGCCAGCCTGGGCTATAAGTGAGCTCAAGGCCAGCCTGAATTGCATAGGGAGACCCTGTCTCAAAAAGACCAAAAAAAAAAAAAAAAACACAAGGGCGGCTAGGGATATAGCTCAGTGGCACAAGCACCTGCCTGGCAAGCACAAGGTCCTGAGTTCAATTCCCAGAACCAAAACAACAACAAAAAAACACAAGGGCCAAGGATATAGCTCAGCAGCACAGTGCCTGGCAAGTGCAAGGCCCTGAGTTTGATTCCTAGTACCAAAAAAGAAACCTTAAACCCCCAAAAAAATAACCTTAAAAAAAACCTTTAAAAACAATCCAAAACAAAAAAGATGAGTAGAGCCAGGCATTGTAGAGGATGCCTATAATCCCAGCACTTGAGAGGCTGAGGCAGGTGGATCACTGTGAGTTGGAGGGTAGCCTGGGCTAAAAATTGAACTCAAGGCCAGCCTGAACTGGACAATGAAACTCTGTCTCAAAAAAGATTTAAAAAAAAAAAAAGAAGAAGAAGAAAGATGAGTGGATTAAAAAGAAAAAGAAAGAGTGATTCTATGAGAGAACAGACAAGGCTCTACTATAGGAATTAAGGTCGGGTATATTTACTGAGATATCTGGGTCACTAATCATTACTGTGCTATACCAAACTGATATTCATTCATTCATTCATTCATTCATTTATTTTGTTTGCTTGAGTCAGGGTCTCACTATGTAGTTCAAGCAGGTCTTCAACTACGTAGCCCAGGCTGACCTTGAATTCATGCCAATCCTTCTGCCTCACCCTCCCAAGCGCAAGGATTACAGGTGTGCACCACCAGGCCCAGCAGACAAACTGATGTTTAAACCGGGTAGACTGATATTTAAACCAGGAAAGGAGAATTAATAAATTCCCACACATGCCGGGCATGGTGGTACACACCTGTAATCCCAGCACTCAGGAGGCTGAGGAAGGAGGATTGATGCAAGTTTGAAACCAGCCTGGGCTACAAAGTGAGCTCAAGGCCAGCCTGAACTGCATAGGGAGACCCTGTCTCAAAAAGACAAAAAGTAAATTAAAATAAAATAAATTCCCACACAAAGTCTAAGAAAAACTAAACCACCCAATCCTGAAGTGTTTTGTTTCCCTCTGGAAAACATCTTTGCCCAGTAAATAGAAATCTAAGTGGTTCTAACACTTCATGAAGATCAATAGGTAATCACAGACAATAAGTAATCATGGGCATGTTTCATAAATGTAAATTCAAGGGAGGAGGTTCAGTGGTACAGCGCTTGCCTAGCATGTGCAAGCTTCTGGTTTCAATCCCCAGTCACACACACAACAAAAACTAAATTTGCCAAATGTATACTGGTAATATTCGTACTGGTACTGTAGACTACTACTTATAAGATGCTTGTAAGAATATACCAACTAATATTACTGAGCAGGGTTTGGTAACACACCCTTGTAATCCCAGCACTCAGGAGGCTGAGGCAGGAGGATTGTTGTGAGTTCGAGGCCAGCCTGGGCTACAAAGTGAGTTCAAGCCCAGTCTGAACTGCATAGTGAGATCCTGTCTCAAAAAGACAAAAAACAAAAACAAACTATTACTGAAAAAAGATAGAAAAAATTCTATTTACAGATTAGAATTTTGAACTCAACAGTTAACAATTTTTTTCATCTACCATTCAATTCCTGCACACTGGAGAAAGCTCAACTATAAAAGGTTCACTTGCTAACTCTCATTCAATTTCCACTTATACATCTGAATTTCCTAAGTACAGTACAAAAGGATGCTAGGAAGGAAAAACAGTAAGACATGAAGTAAAAGCTCTAAAGCAGTCGTCCTCCAATCTTAATGTACAAGGAAAGAGTCAGCTGGGAGAGCTGGTTAAAGGCAGATTATCTGGTAGATCTGAGTAACACCTGAGGCTACAGTTCTAACAAGCTCAGGTGATACCAATGTTGCTGGTGGGGGGTTCACACTTTGAGCTGTAATCCAGCCACCCTCAAGAGGTAACACATAGTGAGTTCAAGGCCAGCCCAAGGAAACATTAAGACTGGACTTTCCCTGAGAGTCAAAATATACCTCCACATAATTTTAACCCCTTTCTACAGCACTGAATTTGGGTTTGAAATGGCTATTTAAAAGCTATCAGCTATTCAAAACAAAAGCATGGAACCGAGAGTGGTGGCACACACCCGGGCGGCTGAGGCAGGAGGATCCACGCTAAATTCAAGACCAGCCTGGACTTCATAGCGTCTTAGTTACTTTTCTCTCATTGATGAGACAAAATACCCGACACCCACAAGTTAAGGGAGGAAGGGTTTACTTAGCTCATAGTTTGTAGAGGTTTCAGTCTATAATTGGCTGGCCCCAAGGCAGCGTGGTTTCATAAATAACAGTTCATGAAGGCCAGAAGGTACCAAAAGCATCAAGGGAGAGACCTTAAAATCATCTTTCTGCCCCTTATATCCTATCCAGGCTATTTAGAGGGGAAGAGCACTAACACCCTTAATCCTAGGGTCCTTGAGTTAGCACTGCACCATCAATCCTCAGTGTCACACCCCCGAAATCCAGCCACCCTCAAGAGGTAACACACAGTGAGTTCAAGGCCAGCCTGAACTACACAACGAGACCCTGTCTCAAAAAAATATATGTATATGGAAAGTGCTATTGTGGGGAAATTATGTTGACTCTACAGGGTGTGGAATGGCTCTCTATTTACTGAATGGATGAGCGCAACTTTGCTAATCTCTGGCTACTATAAATTTGAGTAAATCAATCAGTATTTTTCTGGCTTACATCTAAAGAACAGACAAAGCTCACAGGTGTCAGGATGTCGTAAAACATTAATTCTGTATGCTCAGACATACAAAACATGCTAAGCATCTGCGCTTTTTTAAAATGTCAAAAACATTTTTTTGAACTAAAGTCTTGTTTTCTGACTCTAGCAGTAAGTGGAAGCAGCAGTGGGGAAGTGGTATGAAACACAAGCGGGGCGTGGCAGCTCACACTGGTAATCTCAGCATTAGGGAGGCCAAGGAAGGAGGACTGCCTGGAGTTTGAAGCCAGCCTGGGCTACATAGCAAGACCCCGTCTCAAAAAACCAAACTAAATAAAAATACAACTGTGATGGATGCCACTTAATTGTATATTTCCTATAGGTGACACATGTGGTATATGAATTATATCTCAATAACCTTGTCAGAAAAAACAGAAACTTCCACACAAATGAAGATTGAATCATTATATGGAATGCTTATTTTTTAATCTTCAGTGTAATATACCAAATAAAATATACCTAAGCTTTAAAAATCCTAATAGTAAATCACATTTCTATCTGACAAAATAATTAAATCTGAGATTTTTTTTCTTTCTTTCCTTTGAGACTGGGACTTGCTAAATTGCTGAGGCTCAATTTACAGTCCTCCTGCCTCAGCCTTCCGGAATGCTTTATTACAACAGACACAAGAGTAGAGTAGGTAGAGCTGAAGCCTGAAGGTAAGTTTGCTGACTGGCCATTCGTGGGTTTTATCCAATCCCCAGTTAAATATTTCAAAACCTAGCCACGAAGAAATAAAACAATGGCGAGTAAAAGGCAAGTAATGATGTGTTTTTCCCGAACGATGTTTTTGGAAAATTCAATTTAATGCGAACACTTAATAAGCCCTCATGTGGTAGCATTTATAATTTCTCATTACTCATTTTTCCCCACTTTTCTTTTCTTTTTTTTTTTTTTTTCCTTTTTTGCGGTACCAGGGATCGAACTCACGACCTTGCACCTGCCAGGCAGGCGCTTATGCCACTGAACTATATCCCCAACCCCAAATATTTTTTTATTTTTTTTGTCTTTTTGAGACAGGGTCTCGGCAGGCAGTTCAGGCTGGCCTTGAGCTCACTTTGTAGCCCAGGCTGGTCTCGAACTCACAAGATCCTCCTGCCTCAGCCTCCCGAGTGCTGGGATTACAGGCGTGAGCCACCACGCCCGGCTTTTCCCCACTTTTCAACTGACTGTCTTCAGACCTACGGAATGAGGGTACCCGTTCCATGGGCAGTCCCAGTCAACTCTGACGCAAAATAATTCTAAAAGAAAACTTTTCCAGACCCCTGGGTTTAAAAAAAAAAAAAAATGCTTTTTAAAGAAGCTGACTTTCTCTTCGGGAAACTGCGGTCAACCAAAACGATTAAAGAAACGACTTCTGGGCTCAAGGCCAGCCTGAACTGCATAGCGAGACCCTGTCTTAAAAAGACAAAAAGAAAAAAAAAAAGAAACTTGACTTGGATCGTTCGGGTTCTCGGGCACGCTCCCCACCGTCGCTTTCTCTGGCGGCCCGGGACGCACAGCTAGTGTCACCGAACAGTACTGAAACTCGGGGTTCGGAAAGCGGCCAGGGAAGGGCGGGGGTCGTGAGAGAGGCCTGCAGCCGGCAGAGAGG